AGATCAAAGCAAAGGAAAACGGAAGGTTTGTTCTGCACGATAGTCAGGGCTTCGAGCATGGGGAGGGTGACAACTTCAAGAAAGTCGTCGATTTTTTGAAAGCTCGGAAGGACATGCCCAATGTGAGGGATCAGGTACATGCTGTCTGGTATGTTTACTGCTCCTGTGTCATTCGAGTGAACAACATGATGAAGGTGTTGCACAGGCTTTGTTTCCAAGTATCCGTGTCTGAAGGTGATCGGTTGTTCGAGGCTGGGGTGGAGGAGTTATTCCGCATGAAGTCCAAAGGAGAACTTGGCCCTGGTAGGCTTTTGGCGTTTTTTGGTCGACAGTCACTCACTGTTTGATCCAGTTCCTGTGATCACCGTGTTTACGAAGTATGATCGGCTGGTAACACAGGTTAAGTTTGGTAACAACAATGAGTTCATGCACCGCACGAAAACCTTGGATGCAGACGCGCGCAATGCACTTCTGGTCAAAGAGGCAAATGAAAGGTTCGAAACACTTTGTGTCCGTCCCTTCAGGGCGGTGGTCGGCCCAGATGTCCCCCACATTTCTGTCTCAAGTAAGTTCCTGACCGATTTTTTCTCTAGATTTGTGTTCACATTCGCGATTGCAGCTAAGAAAGAATACATAAATACCTTGAAGGACCTTACTGCACTCACCGCAAAATACGTAAAAGAATGCCTCGCGGTTGACGTTGCGGAAGAAGTCGCGGTGCTCTCTGCTGTTGCTCAACGCGTGAACCCAGCTATGAAGATCGATGCGGTGATTGCGTGAGCATACAGACATTTGTTATCTGAATGCCCTGCTGACATCTTCTGGTCAAAGAATTGGCAAGAAGCGTATGAGATTTCCGCTGTGTCACTAAACTGGGACTTAACCCCCATCTAGGATATTGGAGGGGCCTTGCTTCCAGCGCGAACTTCCCGGGGAAAACTATAGACGCATGCCTTCGAGTTTTACACACTGATATTGTGCGAGTGTGGAATATGCAGGATGAATTTGGGGTAAAGACTTCGTTATCATACCCCCTCATGCTTTGCTTACTGAGCATATCCCCTCAGCATCTCGAGAGCAAAGAGTTCAGGGCATTAATGACCACACTTGCGGGAGAGCAATATGACGAGCTGTCGGATCCCAATACGACAATGTGAGTTTGCTTTTTCAACTATTATCACATTATTTCTCACACACAAGTCGTCAGTATTCGCGCTTCCCCGCTGTTTGTTGCTTTAACTGGACTCGTTGGGGGTTTATCCGGACCCGCTGCTCCTATTGTGATTCCTATCGCTGCAGTTGTAGTCCTCGCAAAGTGGGGATACGATGTATATAAGCAATCGTGCGTTCTCAATTTCCTACGTATTCGGTGAAATACTAAGCGACAAACTTCCAGGGAGCTTATCGTACAACGTCTAATGGCGTACATCGTTGATTTCACCATCATCATGCAAATCATCTTTGGCCTCGTGGTTAACGCCCAACTGCACCTTACCCGTCGCCTGATCAAGCTTGCCTTCGCCACGTACAACTGTTCACTAGAAAGAAGAGCTGTCCACAATGAGATTCGGGATCATGTGAAGTTGGCAGGTCGCGCCGACCGGGATGCAGCACTTGCGGAGATGCTTCGACTGATCAAGAACTACCAGATGAACCCTGAGGACATGGACAAGCTACAATTCACGATGGGGGAGGGGTTTGATAATGATGAAGATGAGCCCTGGGACGTCCCCAAAGCTGAAAATCATCATGCTCGTGCTTATTTTGAGTTAAAATGAATATAACCACACTCTCGAATAGTAAAATCCCTCTTGTTCTACAAGATATATCGGATTGGAGGGGCTCTTCAAGTAAATCTCGCATGCCGTTGCCGTTTGGAAGTTGAAGATGTGAGCAATGGCCATCGTCGGGAAGTGCTGCAGCGCACCACCACTGTCTACTAGCTCTCCTGACCCTGCCGTTGCTACCCCAAAGCAGTGTGTCACAGACTTGAGAACAACAATTTCAACGACATTGAAGTTGCTTCCGATTTCCAAGAAATCTTTGGCGTCGGGAATTTGCTTTCTGTGATGTTGGACGTCATGTATGAGGGGCCTACTGTCTCAATTTGCTTCGTGATAGTGATGAGCACTGAGTAGGGTATTCTCTGGACGAAAGTTGGTTTCATGAACAATTTAAAACCTGTGATCTGAATTTGAAGGTCTTGTGAAGGTCGATCATTCAGTGAAAACCTGCACCAAGATAGAGAGACCCAAGTTGCGATTTTTAATGAGTTGTGTCGTCGTCGTCATTCCCGTATTCCGCCGTACTTAGCTGATGGAATCCGCGACGTTCGGAGGGTATGGACATCAAATGGACATGAGGAAAAGAGAAACGTGATGAGACTCGGATGCGATGTCGGAGTTTTCTACAGTCGTGGACAAGCAAAGCCCACTAATAAAAATGGAAATTATTGATGGCTACCAAAGTGCCCGGAAAACGTGCAGATACGTTGAGGGAAGCTTCTGGCCAAATTTCAGCCAAGTCTCACGAGCCGTTTTGGAGAAAATGGCCATATACAAAAATAGACCCTAAATTTTTGGCCGGACACCAAAAAGTGCCAAGAAAAATATGAAAAATAGCGGAATCGCTTCCTTTCACGGAGAACAATCTGCCCATCAAGTTTCGAAACAATTTATCGAGCGGTTCTTCTGGAAAAAATTGCCAAACATTGACCCAAATTGGGCACTTAGTCACTTTTTTGATGTGACATCTATCACGGGACTAAGAAATTCCATCACACTAGGCTTTCGAAATGCAGGGAAATCCCTTTCTGATAGATTCTTTGCCCTTTCTGAGTAGCTTCCAGCTGAAGCCCAGCACAGGTACCAACTTTCGATAATTTCTGGCCAGTTTTGACCTGTTTTTATCCCCAAATGTTGCAGTTTTTTGGTCCAAAATTTTGGCCACACCAATTCCTCATGGGAAAAACATCGGAGGTGCGTTTTTCGACGCATTTCACAAATCTGAGCCAGAATCTGGAAAAATCTCAGCTCTAGATACATTATTTACCAAGATACCAAATTAGTGGGCTTTGCTTGTCCACAACTGTAATTCGGCATCTCAACCGGTTCTAACTTGTTGTGGATGTTCCTATCAAAATTGCCATCATAATTAAGAGCAACCAAAGAGTTTTTGGTTACAATTTTGGTCCCATCCAGGATGGCAACCTGGTTGCAACAGGTGGCAACGGGAGTTCCGGCGTGATTGTTCGAGTTTAAACAAGGTGTTTACTCAAGTCCAATGAAAACTGTCCAAGGCTAAGTTGCATGCGCACAACTTCAGTCGTGTGTCCGCTGACACACGACTCAGAGCCGCTGCTCATCTCTCCCTTAACTCACGTGATCCACGCTTGGATGTGCACTAACAGGCCTTGATTTATTTTTAGATATACCCCTCACAGTTGAGGAGTGAGGTTGAGACGCCCCCTTTCTGCCAGGCTCTCGTCTTGACATCTCACTCCTCAACCAGGTATGATTCTCATTTTTTAATCTAGGCCCTCATCTTGATATCTTACCTCGTTATCTAGTTCTAGCATATGCATTTCTCGTCACTTTCAATACATCTGTATTCATCGTTCCTCATTGTGACTTATGAGTGAGGGGCATGCGAGACTTTTTGCAGTACCCATCCCAGGGAATGGATCGTCCAGCACTCTGGGATCGAATGCAGCTGGACGAAGTGACGAAGGACAAGCCGAGCCTTCTGGAGAGAATGCAACTGCGAGAAACAGCGAGCGTTCAGACGAGCGAGGAGACAGAACCAACCCTGCTCCGTCAAATGAGGACGTCAATGGTAACCAATCTAATCCCCGAGGAACTCAACCTCCAGGAGGGAATGCCGAAGACCCAGATGTCGACGACCTCGATGAACCAAACTCAGGGGGTAGACCACAACTTGAAGAAGAATCGATCAAGTACATGGACGACATCGTCG